GTAATACCAAAATAATGGAGAATTAAAAGACACTTGCAGTTACAAATATTTGTGCTTTATTTTATACAGTATTATGGAAATGAATTGCACTTTACATTAAAGTTTTTGAAGGGCATGATTGTAGATATCTAGCAAAAATAGCTCTAAATTGAATTAAAAACTTAGTATTGTCAGAAATGTGGGAGTGTGAAGTCAATGGGTTGTAATTTGTTGCATTTTTTTGTGGAATTATCTAGATTTTGCTGTCATTTATCATATGTCCCAGTATATCTTGCTGAATATTAATGAATATAAAAATAACTCCAGAACTTTGCAGTGGGATCACAATTGATGCAGTGTGATAGAAGAATTGATGCAGCATCTCACACTTTCATCATTCTGCATTGGTTTGGGGCAACTTTTGTGGTTTTATTGTCTTTTAACTACTTATCAGATGTTCCTAAGACGAGAATCTAAATGGCAAAAATAAATTGTTCTCATAAACTTCTGACATGAAATATTTGCACCCAGTGGAACTATCCAGTTTAATGTCCTATTACTGTGATTTTTGAAGAAGGAAATACAAGCTAAAATCCAAGGTTTTTCTTCCTTTTGGATCATTCATGAAAGGTGCATGTTGTGTATTGTGACATTCCTGCAGCAGATGTTTTCCTGGAAGAGGGGATGGGAGAGAGCTCTGCACATGTGACAGGACAGGTCCCTCTGACCCAGCCAGCCCTGGGTAGTCACCTGGGAATGGTGAGCACCAGGTGTCAGGGAGAGGCCACCCAGAGAAAGGTTTGGAAGCAAGTTTATAGTGCAGGGGTGAATTTATCAGGGTTTATTTTCTGCCATTGGGCAGCACAGTACCAAATTCCCACAGTAACGAGTAAGGATAGTCTGCAGTGAAGGAAGGCTTCTGTGATAGAGCTTGGCAGCATCATTGCAAAAATTACTTCTGAATGTGCCTTTTGCAGGGAGAATGTGTCCTTGCACTGTTAAAAAGTGTCTAATTTACATTTTGAATTTCTGATTATGTCAATTCTGGGGGGCAGGGGGTGTGGTGTTTAATTTCTTTTCTCTTGCCTTTTTTGGTATTGGGGAGGGCATTTGGATTTTTTTTCCTATCCCTTCCCCCCCATTTTTTTTTCTTTTTTTTTCTTTCTTTTTTAAAGTTAAGATTTGCATTTGTGTACCATGCAAGCCTGTGAGCAGGTACTGGCTCAGGCAAAAGCTGCTCTGGTGCTGAGCCATGAGGATGGAGGCTCACAGTTGACCATTACTGACCAGTGAACCTCATGGACCTGCTGGGATGAGTCCAAAGGAGAGTGATGAAGATGTTGCCAGGGCTGGAGCACCTCAGCCAGGCTGAGGCAGTTTGGGTTGCTCAGCATGGAGAAGACTGGAGAGACCTTGGAGCCCCTTCCAGTACATAAAGGGGGCTCCAGGAGAGCTGGAGAGGGACTTTGGACACAGTCATGGAGTGACAGGACAAGGGGAATGGTTTTAAACTAAGAGAGAGACGGTTCAGAGTAAATGTTGGGAAGAAATTCTTGACTGTGAGGGTGGTGAGGCACAGTTTCCCCAGAGAAGTTGTGGATGCCCCATCCCTGGAAGTGTTCAAAGCTGGGTTGGACGAGGCTTGGAGCGACCTGGTCTAGTGGAAGGTGTCCCTGCCCAGGGATGAGCTTTAAGGTCCTTTCCAACCCAAGCCATCCTGTGAGTCTGTGATTGATTTTCCTGCTGAAATACAATTACACTTATGACTTGGGATAACATTTACAGGATAGTCCCTGCAGGTGTTTTATTGGAATAGTATTTACATGGAATTAGCAAATTTGGAGGAAATAGGAAAGTTGGCATTACCAAATAAACCAGACTTCTGGCAACAGCAGGTTACCTAAGCCCCTGCAGGTGTTTTCTTTTACGCCTGGGAAGCAATCTCTTAACACTTGTTTGCAAAATTGGACAAAAAAAATATCAGCAGTGGATCTATTCTGAAACGAGTATTTTGTCTTTTATGTTTAATTAATGCCTTGGAAGGAAAATGACATTTGTTTGTGTCCGTGGGTGTTGCTGGGGGAGCTGATGTGCTGTGAATTCTCGGGCACGTTTGCCGTGTGCTGGCTCCGAGTCCCGGCTCAGTGATGTCTTGGGGACCAGCTCCTTGTTTTATTTATCCCACACCGGCTTTGGTGTTTCAGCCTAATTTGCTGGTAATGGGAACAGTCAGATACTCATCTGTGCTAACACAACTCTGGTTTAACCGGAGCCCTGCGCTTTGGTACGAGCTTTGGTACAAGCCAGAAGGCAGCACTTCTGAACTCTCCTACTTTTTGATTGGAATTCTGACTTTTTTTTTTTTTTTTGGCTCTGTTCATCAAAAAAAAAAAAAAAAAAAAAAAAAAAAAAAAAAAAAAAAAAACAAAAAAAAAACACCAAACTGGGGAGGCTGAAAATGAATGTGGGTTCTTAATCACAAAAAGGTACCAGGCTGTTTTGAAGGCAAGCTTGGTGACATTACAAATTAGGTTTTTACATATACGAGAAGCTAAATCTTTAAAAGATCCTACTCTAAGGCAAAAGGTAAAATAATAGAAGAGAATAAAATCTCTTCCGGAGCAGTGCGGTTGCATTGCCTGGCAGGCTGTGCAGAGCACATGGCTGCACTGCCTGCTCCAGAAGAATCGGAGCTAAGCCCCTCCAGTCCTCCCAGTGCTCCGGGAAGCAGCCGCGTGGGTGCACAAGTCCAGGAGCATCGGCTGGCTGGCTGTGTTTGCACACAGGCACCCCAAGCTGATGCTTTCGCATTGTCTGAAGAGCGCTTTCCTGGTAATTCAAGCTGGGATAATTCCTTTACAAAGAACCGCTAATGATCTTACAAGCACCGCATCGAGTTGAGGCGGCTTCGAAGAGTGGGTCTGGCGCCTTGGCTGGTGGCTTTGAAATGCTGAATGTTGTTGTAGGGTCCTCCAGATCAAGGGGAAATGAATATGCGTACAATGACATGCGAATTCTGAGGGGTTCCTTTCTGTTCTTCCAATGTAGTGGACAAAACTTAGAAATATAACGTGTATCAAAGTTGCTAGAAAGCATTTTAAGTAGCTGGCCCAACTGATACAATAGAGAACAATCGTAATTTTTTTAAGTTTTCCGTTTGTGAGGGTTGGTTTTCTAAAAATACATGGGGTTTTTAAGTATAGTTACTGAGACAGAAAAAGTCGTGCTTCTTTTAGTCTCTCATATAAATATTTTTGCAGCACTGTTGTTGCAGCTCCTAGAAAACCTGATTCAAGGCTGGGGGCAGTTTGTGTTTCTTGGATGTTTTGTTTTTCTGCTCCTTTTTATAGCCTGGGCTCGGGAGTGAAAGGGGAGGAGGGGTGGGAAAGTGTGGAGGGACAAAACCAAGGCGGCTGCAGGAAATGGGGGTCCTTTCCCACACCTTCCTCTGGGCATCGGCTTCCCAGCTTTCCCTGAAGCTGAAGCCCAGGTTCCAGCCCGGGCAGCAGCAGTGCTGGGCTTGTCTGTGACTGGTTTTGGTTTTGCTTAACTCCAAGGGGGCTGAATTATTTTTTAGCAGTAGGAAGGAGCATAAGGGATGCCTTTTTTCCTGCTGAGGATGAGCAGGGATACCATTTGTCCTGTTCCTGGAGGATGCCTTAGGGAAGGAATAAGGATTTCTGTATTTCGTAGCTCCATCTTATTTTTTGTTTCATTTTCCATGGGGGAGATAAACTAACAAAGCATTAAATAAAACTGAAGCTCAGTTCTGAGCAGCCTGATTTACAGCCCTCTTGGGTCAGGTTTTAGGTTGGTGCACTTGAGAGTGGATAACTAGACACTGTCCAGCCCACATGGGAGAGTTTTAGCTGCTTTATAGCTAAAAGAATGTTTCATGAGTGCACTTACACTTGTATGAAGGGGCAGCGTCTGTGTGTAATCAAAGAGTTATGTGTAATCAAAGAGTTTTGTTTTGATCAACTTACATTCCTTTTGACTGACAAAACCTGAAGAGGGGAACAAAAAAAAAAAGTCCTCTTCATGCCTTAGGTTCAGGCAAAAACATCTCCTCCAGAAGTAGGTGCTGCCACCTCATCCTGTCCACTCACATTCCCCCTGTGATTAAGCCATGGAATCAGCTTTAGCAGATCTCCAAGGTTGCACAGGCAGCCCTGGCCTGATTAAATCTGTCGATGGGCTCATATGACTGGGCATGCAGAGTTGTGGCTGGAAAGCCTGAGAAGTCACCAGGAGCTTGGCCTTGGAGGTCATCCCATGGAGGACCAGGTCCCTGCATAGCATGGCACTGCCACTCCCTCCCCGAAAGTCAGGACAGAAACCAGCCCCTGGCTGGAACACACGTGGAGCAATGAGAGGTCAGGTTACAGAGAGCTCTTGTCGGATCTTGGCTGTGAAAGGAGACTTGAAATGTATTACAGATACTGGGACTATTTTGGGGCGGTGAGAAAAGCTGCTCCTCCTGCAGGAGCTGTTGTGTGAAAGCCTGCTCTGGACTTTTCTAATCAGGTCTGGAAAAGCAAGGATGCTAAAACTGGGGAGATCCAGCAGGAGCTGAAGGGGCATTGGCTCTGCAGTCCCAGTTTGCAGCGGTTGCTCAGGGCAGGCTGACACTGTCCGGGTCTGCTGGTGTCCACGGAGAATGGTTCACTCAGCGAGGGTCGGGGTCTGTCTTCTGCATGGTGCTCCTCAAAGCCTCAGGGGTTAACTCATGGATTGCTTGAGAGCTTACTTTTCCAATGCTTCCTAATCAAGGAATGCTGTGAGACATACTCCAGGATTTTGTTCAAACTTTCTTATGCAGTCTCCTGCAAACACATCTGCCTCAGGCAGATCCCACCTGGATTTTTATCACCGATACAAATTAGTGCTCCTAATCAGACAGGAAAATGCAAGAAAGTCCATTGACAAATGGAGTTAAGCTGTCAAATTCCTCACCAAACTTCTGCACAGGGATCAAACATAATTTTTTTTCTCAAATATTGTTCTCTCTTTTTTTGTAGGAATCAGAGTTTCTCTGCCTGGAGTTTGATGAGGCCAAGGTGAGCCAGATGCTGAAGAAACTGTCAGAAATAGAGGAAAGTATGACTTTGTTGACTCAGACTACTTAATCAAATAAAGAGATTGCAACTTACAAAGAAATGACCCTTGGTACGTTTTCATAAATCCTATTTCAGCACATAAATAGGGGGTGATGGTTAAATACAGATTATAACCCCAAGAATGGGCTAAATCACACTGTGAAGCTTTCTCATCCCCTCCTCCCAACCTGTTTTCCAAGGCAGCAGCAACACTGTTTCCACAAAGCTTTGCATAATCAGGCCTTGGGGTATAGCACAGCTTTTCTCTTTATCTCCTCAGTCACTTCTGGAGTGCTCCAGATGCTGTGGATGCTGGGCTGGATAAACAGCAAAGGTAATTGGCCAGTTGTGGCAGAGGAGAAATGAGCAGAAGAAACAGGCAGATTAGGGGGAACTCATGTTTATGCTTCCAAACCAGGGACTTTATAGAACAAATCCACCTCTGTGAGCTCTGTCTGCTTAGAGTTAAAGCCCAGAAAAAGCAGATGAAGTGCAGGGAGTTCAGGGAGGAGAAGAGGCACAAACACCTCTCTGTACCTGTGAGCTCCATGCTGCCAAGGATTCAGTTCCCAAGGTCTGGCCAACCTGACTGCAGAAGCCAGGGGACAATCAGGGGAACATCTCCTGGGCAATGGGAGGTGCTGGTTTTCCAAAAGGAACAGTCCTGCATGTGCAGAGCGCCTGATGCGGCTATTTGCTGGATGGTGCCTTCAAAGGCACCTCTGATCTGCTTCCCCGAAGACCATCCAGCCTCATCACCTTCTGGCCCTTGGGCTGTAGTGGTGCAGCCCTGGCACGGAGCTGCACGCTGTCTTTGAGGGGCCAGCGCTTTGTCAGAGCGCAGCTGAACTTGGCTGCTCTTAGTACTGTTTTTCATGGCTTGGTTTGACCCGAGAAAGCCTCAGATGGAACCCAAGGTTTCTAAGTGCATACAGGCTCAGCTCGGAATGTGGGTAAAGGAAAGTGCCCTTGGCAGCCCGTCAGCCTGAGGCCTTATCAGTAAAACACTTGTGTGAGTGAAGAAATCTGCCAGAGGCAGGTCAGGGGCACAGGATCTGAGCTGCCTGGATGGCTCCTGGCTGTTGCAGTGCCCACATCTGCGCTGGAACACCCAGCTGCAGAGCAGCTGCTGCCCCTGTGCTGACAGAGGCTCCCAGAAGGGTTTCCAGTTCCCTGTGTTTCCCTTCAGGGCTGTGACCTTGCCAGCCTGGTCACAGCAGGGTGTCCCACCTCACTGAAGTGGCTCAGCAGGAGCTGAGCCTGAGCAGGCCAGCACTTGGACAGAACAGGATGGAAGGATCTCCTTCCAGCAGAGCTGCCTGGTGGTCCTTAAAAAGGTGACAGTCCTGGCTCCTGGTTTGCTCTGTCACTTGACTGGAAGGTGTACACACATTTGGTTGGAGGCTACATTGCTTCTTGCCATTTTATATTTGCTTTATAAGCAACCTCCTCCTGAGCTAAAATTACATTGAGAGCTTGTACCAATATAGAGATGACAACATAAAATGTTCTCGTGCCATAGCTAAAGCACTCCTCATCGCTTCTCCTTGAGAATTTATTGCTTGTGGAGTTGCCAGATTGCACTTGGACACAAAATCTCTTCAGAGCAAGGGAAGGGCACCTTTTCCCATCTGCCTGGTCAGAAGGGGAAACATCCCTCCAGCCAATTTGAGTCCCTGCACAGGGAATTAACATTTCCTTTGCCGTGCCTGTCCCACTGCTGCCTTTTCTCTTACAGCCTCCTGGTTCTGCCCTCTCATCTCATGGAGCCCCTAGCACCTCTGTTTCCCCAGCTGCCTTCAGCTGGTTCCTGTCAGAGAGGAACTGGGCTGTAACCACAAACTGTTCCTTGTGCTGCTCCCTGAGCCCCTGGCTGCAGCACTGCTGTGAAATGAGTGCTTTGTGATTCTCTGAGCTTTCTGTTGCCTTTTTCAACTAAGTTCATTCAAGTGCTTTCTGTGTTTTAGGACATATTAAAAAAAATCAAGGTCAGGGAAGGATCATGATCTTAAGTAGCTTGCACTGTGTCAAACATACTTATTGTTTTATTTTAACATGGTCAGAGGATAGGAAAATGTGCTATAAATGGAAATTAAAGAGAAACAAACTGGGAACAGATGTCAGGAAGTATTATTTCATGCAAAGAATAACAAATATGTGGAATGGCTAACAAGGCAAGGAGGCTGTGGCAAAAAGTCTAGGGGACATTTAAGAATTAATTGGATACTTTCTTAGTTGAGGTCTGAAGTGGTATGTTTTTATGGGTGGATGCTTCTGTCCCTTCCTAATCTTCCCTCCCCTGGATACCTAACCATCCTCATTTTCTTCTTGGTGAATCTTTCTAAACTACTGTGCAAAACAAAGAAAGAAAAAAAGAAAAAAAAAGCACGGAGTGAGTAGAGGACCACACTGCTCAGTCCTTGGTAGTCACTGGGCAGCAAAATTGTTCCTGCTTCACCAAGTTTGATGTGGCAGGGAGGGGGATGCTGTGCTTCCCGATGTTGTAATCCTCAGCTGCTGCTGGGACACGAGGTCTGCTCCTTGGCAGGGCTGTGCCTTCCTGCTGAGGTGGTTCCTGTGTGTACATCCACCTGCCCCTGCCTGCGGTGTTCCGAGCCTGGTGGCTGAACCTGCAGGGGACGAGGCCTCCGGTGCCACTCTGCTTTGCTTCCTTGAGTGAAAGGCACAAGCACCCATGGCTTTTGTTGGGATGTCACTTGCTATCTGTGGTCCTGCTAAATATCTCTGTGGTGCTGGCACATGACAGCTCCTCTTCTGGAGAGATTTCACAAATCCTCCCCCAAAGCCCAGATGTAAACCAGACTCATCCTGAATGCATGGCCAGGCAATTCCTGCAGTGGCTGGGGCCACACGTGGCTGCTGGAATCCTGCATGGATCCAGCTGGGCAGACACCCCAGCACAGCCCTGGGGCCTCATCCAGCTTTGGAGACCACTGTGGTTCCTGCCATGGCCCCAGCTCCTGTGCCCATGTGCTAAGCCAGGCCAGCAGTGTGGCACCAGGGCCATCACCTCCTCCTCTTCCTCCTTCCTTCAGGGAAGCAGGCAGGCATCACTTCACAGCAAGGGAACGAGCAGCCCAGCACAGCCAGAGGGAGAAAGGGAGGGAGAAGCAGCAGGAAGAAAGGCTGAAGGAGGGAATCCCACCTGAGGGAGGCTTTCCTGCCAGAGAAGGAGCGAGGACACGACTCCTGCCAGCTCCAGTGTCCTTAGGCTCAGGAAGCTGTCCAGCTGGCAGACACTGGGGCTGGGGCAGGCTTGGCTCCCACCGGGGGCTGGGGTTTGGTCCAGCCTGCCCCGTGGTGGCTGCGGCGGGGCCGGGCCGGGGCTGCGGCTGCGGCAGGAGCGGCTCTCGGCTGCCGGCCCGCTGTGGCTGGCGCTCCGGGTGACAGCCGCGCAGGGCAGGCGCCGCTGTCCCCGCGGTGAGCAGAGGCGGCTGCCGCAGCCCTGGCACCGCTGGGTCCCGGTGACTCAGCCCACCCGGCCCCGCCGCCTCGCACGGAGCTTCTGCTGCAGCCTTCAGCTTCCTTTCCGTGTCCCTCAATCACACATTGCACCGCTGGCAAGCCCCGCACTCGCTCTCTGCTTGGCAAGACCATTACTCTTAGTGCAGCTTTCTCTTTTCTTGGTCTGCATATGCCCAGAACTGCTAAGGTTTTAAAGTGTTCTTCTAGGATATCTGTATTTGAAAAAAAAAAAAAAAAGGCTTAGGCACACCAAATCTAAGCCAAGCGAGTGCTGGTTTTTGTAATGTTTTGGGCCAAGGAAAGCGGCAGATGATAATATACTTATTTTATGTTGGTGTTGATTTGCTTTCTGATTATTCAGGTAGCTTAGTCTCTCTTTTTTTTTTTTTTTTTTTTTTTTTCCCTTACAGGCCCTTTTTCAAGTGTAAATAATAGTGTGTATGCTCTCATTGTGTTTCACACAATGGGAAGGATTTCGCAGGAGCCCGTAATCTCCACATCTCACTGTGCTTGGACTTTTTAAATAATGTGATTGATATTTTGAGATATTTTCTTTTCTGTGTGTCAATTCTTTGCTACCTATTGATAAAACAAATTGATCACCATTTTTCTGAGGAGATTTCCCGATTTAAGAATTTGCTGACCATTTGTAGGTGTGCAAGTATCTGAGAAGTTTTACCCCAAGGCTCACACTGGCCATAGATTGCTCACAGAAATGTTTTCTTCCCCTTCTGGGGAGTTTCAACAGTTTATTCATTCATTCCAAACATTTATGAAGAGGTCCTCAGTGCTGGGGACAGAGGGAGCCTTTTGAATAAGGGGAAAGCAGTGGTCCTGTAGCAGCAGCCACTGATGACTTTTTAATGTGTTGTGTTTCATGTGGCTTGAGACTGGAAAAACAGGCGAGGGCTCCTTGCCTTGAAGCTGGGCCTGTTAAAATCCTCCTCAAAAATTATTCCCAAATCCCAGGGAAGTGTGGCTGGGAGCGTCATTTAATCCAATGTGGAGGCTAGAGCTGTGCTCCTGGGTCTCCCTCACTGTGCTGGATGGGGGTAAAGATGACAGCACAGGGGGACAGGCAGCCGTCATCATCAGTGCACCTCCCCTCAGTGCACCAAAATCCAGCTGTTTCCACCCATCCAGGTCACGCTGCTTCAGCCAAGCTTTGCCAAAGCTGTGGAAGAGGGCCCCTCTCCTCAAAAAGGACACACAATACCAAAGGTGCCTTTTCCCAGTAGCGTGAATCCTGTGGGTGATTCCCCAGGGCCACAGAAATCGCAGAGGACACGGTGTGTCACCCCCCATGGAAAGGTGGCAAGAGGGGGACACAGCTGCAGCCTCAGGTCTGAACTGCCAGTGCCCCTTGGGCAGTGTTATTTTGGGATATCACCTGAGCTTGTTGTCCAAGCACAAAATCTTTGGTGGTGCTGTGGAGCTTCCCTCCAGATGTGATGGGGCTGACCAACCCCAAGCTCAAGTCCCCAGATGCTTTCCCCTTCCTCCTTTCTTTTAGTGGTAGGAAGGCAGATCTTGCAGTGCAAGAATTTGCAGGAAAACAGGTTTGTAG